ACTTTGAGTCATAGGTCATACTGTGAAACTTACAGAACCAAAAAGTATCTATCTATCTATCTATCTATCTATCTATCTATCTATCTATCTATCAGCAAGTGTCCTATCCTAAAAAAAAAATCTTCTCCGTCGACAAAGAATACTTGCCAAATAAATTTTATCGGGTATTTTGTCAAGTTTTGATAAACGTGTCAGTAGTCGTGGGGAGTTTTTAGTACACCACTTATCTATTTGCGTGTGTGTGCTGAAAAATCCTGAAGAATAACATAATAATTATCTTTTGCCATTTGATCAAATTTTGAGAGGTGGGTCATCTGACAAATTTTCAGCAACATCCACCCTATCGCGCCTAAGCGGAAAATGAACTCTTCTTTTTTTTCTTTTTTCTTGGCTTTCTGAATTGAAAGAAATATATCGTGGCCATGAAGAGTTTTTGACATGAAGTTTCGTTTACTCACCAGACCCGGAGTCGCCACCAAAGTATCAGAAAGTTTTCGAACAAGTCTCGATGATCAGAAGATTAAAATATAAATCAACTGGAGTTAGATAGAAACCAGTTCAAAGCGCAATTTGATGTGGTCTGACAGAAACGCAAGCGCCCAAAGCATGTTAACACAAATACTGCTCCAGTGTACAGGATTTTGCCTACTTTATTATTTCTGCATTTTCCTGGTGATATACACATGTGATATTGAAGATAATTTCGATACTTTAAGATATTCCTGCTACCCTTCGTCTAGCAAATCCTACATGGGTAACTTTTGTGATTTCTATATAAACCTTCTCTTTTATTCCTAGGATTGTTTTATCTGGCGCCATTATCATTCCATTTCTTTTCTTTTTTATATTTTGTCTTTTTAGCCTTGATTTCTTCTTCTTCTTCTTCTTCTTCTTCTTCTTCTTCTTCTTCTTTCAACCTCCACCGTTTTCATCTTTCTCTGACTTCATTTATTTCTTTTATTCTTTCTGTTACTTTTCCGTCTATTTGTTATTGCTTATTTTAACTTTATTTCCCACTTATTGCACGTTTATTTAAACTCGTAAATATAACTTCTTCATATTCTTTTTCTGCTTCTTATTCATCTTCTTCTTTTTCTTCTTTTTCTGTTAATCATCATCATCTAATTTTGCCTTCGATCTTTTATTTCTACTTTTATCCTTTTTTTGAGCCTATCGTTTTCTATAATGTTCTTATAAATTTCTCTTTTCCGTTTTCTTTTATAAATGCTCTATTGTTTCTTCAATCCATCTAAATTATTCTTCAAACTATTCTTCTTTTGTTAGCTTATCTTCAGCACCATTCTTCCCATCACAGATCATTTTACTTTTTTTTTTGTTTTAGGTCATTTTCTTTTTGTGAAATATTTCCTCGATTTTCAGTCTTATTTATTTTTTTTTTCCATTTCTTCCCTCCAGTCCTCCTGTAATTTACTCCCACTTGATTTTCCATTATTTTGCTTTCATTACACCCAGCTGCTTTCTTCTATTTTCTTCTTTCCTTCCACGTTTCCTTTCTTCCCGCGCTCTTTTCAAATTTTAACTTCCATCTTTTCATTTTCTTAATATTTCTTCCTTTTTTTTTATTTCTTAGACTTGTTGTCCTTTTTCTCATTTAATCTTTATTCGAGCTGTCAATTCTTTCTTCAATCGTAGTAATACCCGTTTTCTTCTTATTCTTATTCTTCTTATTCGTATTCTTTTTATTCGTATTCTTTTTATTCTCCTCATTCTTATTCTTCTTATTCTTCTTATTCTTATTCTCCTCATTCTTATTCTTCTTATTCTTATTCTTATTCTTCTTATTCGTATTCTTCTTATTAGTATTCTTCTTATTCTTATTCTTATTCGTATTCTTCTTATTCGTATTCTTTTTATTCTCCTCATTCTTATTCTTCTCATTCTTATTCTTCTTATTCTTATTCTTCTTATTCTTATTCGTATTCTTCTTATTCGTATTCTTCTTCTTCTTATTCTTATTCTTCTTATTCTTATTCTTATTCTTCTTATTCGTATTCTTCTTATTCTTATTCTTATTCTTCTTATTCTTATTCTTCTTATTCGTATTCTTTTTATTCTCCTCATTCTTATTCTTCTTATTCTTATTCTTCTTATTCGTATTCTTCTTATTCTTATTCTTATTCTTCTTATTCTTATTCTTATTATTCTTATTCGTATTCTTCTTATTCGTATTCTTCTTATTCTTATTCTTATTCGTATTATTCTTATTCTTATTCTTCTTATTCGTATTCTTTTTATTCTCCTCATTCTTATTCTTATTCTTATTCTTCTTCTTCTTATTCTTCTTATTCTTATTCTTCTTATTCTTATTCGTATTCTTCTTATTCTTATTCTTATTCGTATTATTCTTATTCTCCTTATTTTTATTCTTGTTATTCTACTTATTCTTCTGATTCTTATTCTTCTTATTCGAATTCTTCTTATTCTTCTTATTCGAATTCTTCTTATTCTTCTTATTCCTATTCTTCTTATTCCTCTTATT